TTATCTTGTAATCTAGTGATCTAGTTCCCTGCTCCATATACATGTTTCACTTGATACTTCTCATCATGGTAAACACTGTATTGACTAATGCCTGTTTGCACTTGTCTGCTTGCATCAAATTCATCAATCTGTTCTTTCCTAGTAACAGTTTTAAGGGTTCTTTTTGACAGACCCAATTGTGTTTAACAGTGTCTTTGTTAGACGCTAGTTTGGCGAGGGCATCAACTCTGTCATGTTCTTTGAGGCCTGTGTGAGAAGGGATCAACAACAGTTTGATCTTGACACCTCCATCAACAAGGTCCACATTTGTGTCTGGCTTCACAGACAAATGCGTGACAACTTAAGTTAAGAGCAAGCAGGATAGAGAGTCAGTGATGACGAGACTATCGGTGATGGTGATTTAAATAAATTTAATGGCTGAAAGTATGGCAACTAATTCTGTTTGTAGAATGGATGCCCACTTGTTAATTCTAATTCCTTTCTCAGTTACATTTCCATTAGGTTGATCATAACCTAACATCTTCATTTGCACTGAAAAGTGAGATAAGTCTCCTACCATTGGTGTTAGTGGTGGGGTCTTTTTCTTCATCATATAGATTACAGCTCCTCCCCGACTTACGACCTCCGACCACCCAGACATTCGACCGCCTGGTGTCCAGAAGACACACATCTGAAGCACACATCTTCTGGGGCCTTGCATTTTTTGGGTGGGTGACTGTACCGCTGACACTTGAAGCATCTGGTCTGTCATGGCACGTAAGATCTCACTCAGACGATGTCCCATCCCAGTGTGACCGTCTCTGGAAGTTTGTGGAAAAATCCAACTAGAGCCGAGGTGGATTTTCCGTCGGGTCTCTTAATTTCTCTCTGCGCATCTATTTCTTCTTCTATGAGTTCTTTAATATCATTCTTGTTCATATGTTATACTTTGGCGTGGGAAATAGCTTCCCATACCTTCACGGGGCCGTCATCGATGACATTAAACGTTGCTAAGTTGTTTAGCCTGTCTCCAGTCACCGAAGGTGAGGGAGGCTGAGGACTGTGTGGCACTTCTAAGAAGTCAGCAATGACTGGGAGGCATAACACCTCTCACATAACCTCCAGTGTGACCAGCCAGGAACTCCTGGTTAAGTAGCCACTTCCTTTTTTATCATGACCCAGTTTGTCTCCAGCAAAGTAAAGGAATACAGATGTAAACCTTCCTTTTTTCTCTCTCTGGTGTTATCTCTATCAATACAGTACAGGCACCATCTACTTGTAGAGGTTTTCTATAAGTATATGCTGTTGTTTCTTCTCTAAAACACTGTCTGCTGTACTCGAGACTCCAGTATTGGTGGGACTGTGTTGGCTGATGCATGGCTGTGTGCTCATGATCACATTTGTAAATAACTGACGGTCTTAATTTATATGGAAACAAGACTTTTATCAACAAAGTCATTTCATAAGTTTTGAATATATTCTATCTCAATATGCTGTAAAAAAATGTGGAGAGTGAAAATGTTTTTATATTCCTGGGAACTGCCATAGAGCGGGTACCCCTACCAATGAGTTGTTCCAATGATCTAGATTGGAAACTTGATCCACCAGGACTGCCTTTGGGTCTGTTGGTGTAAACACAAACTGCTCCAATACTTAACAGTGACTGAAACAACTGTAAGACATTCTAATGTTCATGGTTTTGATAGTGAAGCTGATTTACATCATCAACTGTACTACAATATTTTAGATAACTGCCTTGGTGAACTCAATGCTGAGTTTGGTGAGCATAATATTAGACTACTTACAGTCATTTCTATTCGTTGGCCAGAATCCAAGACTTATTTATTACTTCCGGAAAATCTTGTCCCATTGGCTAAACTCATAGGTGTCGACACTGAGTCGTCTCTTCTGGTAAGTGAATGTCGTAACATTGAAGATTTTCTCAAAAACATTGGTGAAATTTGAATATCTTTAAAGTGGATGTCGCTGCACAAGCATGGGCTGCCTCATTTGGTATGCAGACACTCATACTCCAGCGCCACGCCTTTGCAATTACTGTGTATATGGATGTTATTAATGGAAGGAATATTTTCTCATTATTTCTCTGTTGTCATTTTTTCATAAACATCATCAGTTTTCATTATTGTCTTGTTGGTTATTTGAGAAAAATTAATTTACATTCAGTTGTTCGTTGCTGTACTTCAGTTTATATAATTCTTTCCTGTAAATGTTATATACTTAAACTATCATTACATATATGTGTGTGTAGTTTAATAATTTATGAATTTATATACAGTATACATAAAATGTTGTGAGCCGACTCATTAGTTGTCATAAATAAAGTTAGTATTCTGTTGTATAATTGGTTTTATTTCCAAATGGTTTCATTATAGAAATTACACCTAATAATGTCATATATGGCAGAGTCGTTAATAAATAATCTTGGCCCTCTTCGTCGTTGAACAGGCCCCCCCCCACTCGGGTATAAATCTGACAATGGGTCTTGCAGATAATTTACGTTTTGATAAACAGCAACGCCAACAAGAAGTCATAACTAGGGAGGGAAAATGAAATATAAGAACATAAGTTTCACTCATTAACCAATATTACTCAAAAGAAATTGGAAATGTATTTAAACTCATTATTATGGGATTTGATTCCAACAATATAATTCTCATAATTTATAATGTGCATAGAATAGGTTTAAGATCCTACTTAACCAAACGAAAAAATAAATAAGGGATTTGTGGAGATAATAGACTCATGAATCTGGATAGTAAAGCCTAAAAGAAAAAAACACAATCAATTTTATATACCGGTATATGGTAATAAAACCACCAATGTGAGGGTCTGTCATTTATTGACAAGTTAAGTACAGTATTACCGGAGTCAGTGTTTATTGGTTTAAGAGCGGACAACAACACAGGCTGCCACGTCATATTTTTTGGTAGATTGTTTACAGTAAATAGTTAATTTCTCTGTGTCAAAGAGCGTGGAGACATCATTTTAGTGTCACATGATCAGTTCTTCACCGTGTTTTACCCCGTACTCTCCGTCATCTTTCATGTCCTGCCCATTACAGGTGATTTATGTTCATAGAGAAGATATAAAAAAATACTGGTATTTATAATTAAAATAAATAGTTGTGTTAATTTTTATTAGTTAATATGATATTATGTCATTTGTTGCCACCCAAAATTTTTTGATAATTTTATGGTTGCAATCAGTAGTTTTGATCATTCTAAAACACTTTTCTTCTATGGCATTTCTGTCACAAATTAAGTTCTGTATAAGTGAGATATTTTACATTTTAGTTGCTGGTTTGTTAACCAATCAGATCTTGGCATAGTCCATCTGTTAGGCTAGTATGGTTTAGATTAGGTTATATATTCTATACTGGTGCAATCAATACAGTATACTTATATACTAATGCAAATTAATTACATACACTGTACACTCTTGTCCTATATGTTCGTAGGAAATGTCAAATTTTCCCCTAAAATCAAAACTTTTTAATTTATAAATTTGTACCAAAAAATTTCAAACAATAGAATCAAATCTATACAACATCTTACATCCATCAAGTATAATTTCAACTTCCAAATGCTTGGTGGTAACAAGTGAAATTTTACCATTAATACTACATCATCCACAGAACAACTGTGGATAATATGAATCAAATATAAACACAGTACTGCGGTACTAAGGGACTCCACCACCACTACCCAATAATGGCTCAGTACAAGTTATGAAGGTGTTATTTGACTGTGCTGGCTGGGCAAATATCCAAAAGGTATTTGACCGTTAGCTGCGGAGATTGTCTATGATTTTAATGGGATTGTTGACAGGATGGCTGTGGGCATTATTACACTAGTCATTACATAATAAATGCTTAATCATTATCTCCTTTGTGATACTCCAAGATGTCCCACTTCTCTTATGGACATATAATGATGTAGGTTGAATTGGGTTAGGTTAGATAAACATTTTTTAGTCTATACCTAAACTGTATCATAACTGTTAAACGTTGAGCTGTTGGTTAATTTAATCATGTTCTATCTTCCTTTACGTGTTCCTATCTCTACTGTGTTACAATAGTTTAAAGTTATCAATAAAATAATATGTAGTATGTTCTGGGGCCACAACAACCTTAGAACCTTCAAGATATTATATTATATTTATAATTTGTTAGTCAAATTGATACAGTAAAACCATTGCTAAATATATTGAATAATAATTATTGGCATACAATAATATGATATATAAGTGAGGGTAAAATAGTGCTATAAGCCGTGCCTACACAGCAAGTCTCTTACCTCCTCACAACTATTATAAGGCTCTCTCTCTCTTACACCACCATAATCCCTGCACACTTATCATTCACACTAAAACACAAATGAGTCCTCACAATACAATATTACACCAATACAAACCAATTTTCTTCAGAATATTTTTCGATGCTGTGTTTGCATGGAGGAGGGCATGGCACACCACACCCTTCTTCCCAACCACACACTCTTCCTCCTAACCACTCCCTCTTCCTCCCATGCACATCCTCTTTCTCCCATCCACATCCTCCCATCCACAAACACTACCTCCCATCCACACACCCAAAAGGTTGGGTGGATGGGAAGGGAGTTGGGATGGGTAGGTATGTGAGTTGGGTTGGAGGGGAGGTGGTGTAGGAGGAGGGTTGGGTGGGAGGGAGGGGGGGTTGGTGGGTGGGTGGGGTGTTTGGGAGGGAGTGTTGGGTATAATGAAAGGTGTGAGAGAGGGTGAGTGTATGGATGGGAGTGAGGGTGTGTGTGGGAGGTCCTCCCTTTTAATGTGGATGGGACTGGGTTTCTCATTTTGCACCAGATTATACTTTCAGGGTGGGCATCAGCTGGTCGAACTCCTCAAGCTGGAGTAAGTCTTGACAATATATAATGTCTATATGCAAGTATTTATGAATGTTATGTTTTAAAGTTTTTTGTATTCCAGGTTTGTTTGTGTGGCTGACTGGACCTACTACAAGGTGCTTCTTGGAGGTAATAAAGGTAAAGTTTTTCAAGTTATAGTTGATAGCACTAACAGCACCGTAGTTAGACGTAGAACGCACAGTAGTAACTCCGCCTTGTTCAGTCGAACATGCCGGTCCCAAGCCCGGATAAAGGAGGAGGGCTACTGCAGTGTTGTATCTACCATCGCCACCTAACAAACTTACATTATAAATTGTTCTGAAAAAGGTAATATGTTCTGTCAGCAACAGAGAAAAAAATTACATATGTACTATGTTTTTACATCTTTGTAGATAGGTAATACGAAATAAAGAATTGAATATACAGTATATTTTTTATTTTCATATGTATACACTACACATTTATTGCAATATACAATAACAGTCCAGAAGCTGATACAGAAATACAAAATATCCTTGGTCATATAGCCTGGTTTTATACCTGCACTGTCTAGGTACAGTATATATATCAATTTACTGGCCATTCCTGCAGTCTTATGTTCTTAAACCTACATTACCAAATATTAGCACAGAAGAAAATCAGAAAACTTGTAATGATTGGCAACATCACTCGATATCTTTCTCCCGTGTCCCGCGAAATCACATTACAGTACCACTACCATTATTATTTCTCGGCAGATACATCAGTGATGGTGAGGCCGTCACATTACCAGCGGTTGTGGATTTCTCAATTCAACCTTTATATTGCAGACTCCACATAAGGTGAGTTTATTTCACTAGACCTCAAGGTTTTATAAAGTATCTTGTCAGGTTTTGGTCCTACACAAAATTTAGCTTTAGATAATAATGGAAGTCTTGTACTTTGTGAATAATTTTGGCCAGGCACAGTACAGATATATTTCTAAATTTATCCGTTACCAAGTCTTTAGGGGGCGGGGTGGGGTGGTGGGGGGTTCATAAGTTGTTTATTACAATTTTACAAGATTTTTTTCTTCTATATTTTCAGGTAAAACACTTCCATTCAGCAATTGGTGTGCAGTGTCCAGATTGTCAACATTTAGTAAGTAAAATTCTTACTATACTTTACTTTCATTTACTGTATATATACAATACTTTCAAATTAATAGTATGTATGCAATCAAAAATGTTCTTTACGGTCATGGCCGATGAATTTCAAAATGAACACGACGCCCTTTCTCTCGGTAAGGTTGTCAAAATCCTTTGTCGGATGCGTCGGTAACTTAAATGCATTATTTGTGCCATCTGTGGGTATCTAGTAGTTTTGATTACATGTACCCAATAGGGCATCACATGGGCATTAGTTTGTAACAGTTGTACGTACAATGAATGGCACTTTGATGTCAATTGGTGATAATTATATGTAATTAATGTATATATCATGTTCTAAGTTACCCAGAAGCCATCATGTGGGTGTATCCAAGTTGATCACTTTAGTTCATGTTTCAGGTATAGTTTACAGTTCTACTGTACTTGTGGTTTATTTAGATCATTATCATTCAACTTCGGAATATGAAATGTAAAGTTTATTCAATATTTATTTATTTATTTATTGTTATACACAGACATTGTAGGAGTACAAACCATTACAAACACCTCCTAGTGCAAGTGCCTTTACCAGTGCAAGTGCCTTTACCAGTGCAAGTGCCTCTACCACTACAAACGCCTCCCCCGGTACAAACGCCTCCCCCGGTACAAACGCCTCCCCCGGTACAAACGCCTCCCCCGGTACAAACGCCATCCCTCAAGCCACCAGAGGCCTTCCCACACTGAACAATTACATATTACACTTAATTTTACAAACCACTAAGAGAAATGGATCCGTGCAAGATATTCAAACCTCTCACAATCCGTTTGATTGATGTCCGTGTATCACGTTGAACACCTTGCTGATACTTCACCTGTGGACGAAAAATATATTAGAAAAAGGAAATTTTTTGCAACCACAACAAAACTGTGACTACCACGATAGTTAATAATGCTACTGTACATAAAGTATCTTGCTATTTTTAATACTTTGTGGCTTTAATCAAGGTTCACTCCTACAGTCTTGAATGCATTAGTACAGTACTTTAAGTATTTTCTCAAGTTTTGCTAAATTATAACAAAAATATTTCGGTAATACTTAACTTTCACATTACACTATTCTTACAGTAGTGTACAGAACACCAATTCTGTTCTTTCTTAGTAAGGTGGTAGTCCTCAAGGTGTGGGATGCTAGACAGTCGTGGTCACCTTGTTGTGTCTGGTCCATCTATCTTGTACACCAACCACCTGCAACATGATTATATTTGTTTTTAGATACTCTACATCTGAATTAATTAAGCTATTTTATAACACAACCAATACACAATATTGAGGTTAACTTGTACTGTATGTTCTTAAATGCACTATTTTAAGTAATATATCAAGTTTTGCTAAATTATATAAAAAAGGTTTCAGTAATACTTAACTTTTACATTGCAGTACACTATTCTTACAGTAGTGTACAGAACACCAATTCTGTTCTTTCTTAGTAAGGTGGTAGTCATCAAGGTGTGGGATGCTAGACAGTCTTGGTCACCTTGTTGTGTCTGATCCATCTATCTTGTACACCAACCACCTGCAACATGGTTTGGATTTAGATCAATCTTAATTAGCCTTAATGTATTACTACCAATACACAACATTTACTCCAGAATTTCTTGGAATCTAAACTTGCATTCTTATATATATGTGATATATCCATACACTCAAACACCCTCCTATATCACCTTACACAGGAGCATTGTCCTTCTCCCTTTTGGCTGCAGCAGTCTTCATCTAGGCATCATCCCCCACATGCCTTCATAGTACATGCTATTTTTTGCATCACATTTTTAACATGCACTCCATTCACCATTGCTTGAGCACACCACCATCCATGCATGAGCGCCCCCACTGTACGAGCGCCCGTCCACTATACGAGGCACCCACCCCCACTGTACGAGCGCCCGTCCACTATACGAGGCCCCCACCCCCACTGCACGAGGCCCCACCCCCATTGTACGAGCGCCCCTGCACTGTACGAGCGCCCCTCCACCGCCCAATGCTCCTCCTTTCCTACCCTTCACACAAAGTAAGTTCCTCCTCTCGAGTCTTACTTCCATTAGTTTTTGGGGATGGCCATACTAAGGTACATAAGTAATTTACCTAAGAAGGCTTAAGTAACATGCTGGGTGTTACATCTTGCTCAAGGTGTCGGTCACTTCCTCTACATTGGCATTCACGTACGTCAGCTGTCACCTGCAACATGTTTAAAGTTGTAATTTATGTACAATGAAGATTAAACATACAATTTCCATCTACCACCAGACTATATGTACTTATACTATCCCCAATTGTTTATTTAAATACCTTATCTACAAAAGATCTTATTTTAAGTTGCATTAGTGTTTTAGTTTTCTTGATACCTCAACAACTAACATTTAGCACAACAATAGTATAGCCAATCATAACAAGCCTTCATCACCAATACTGCTACACTACTAAATCTCTCCACACTGCTTCATACACAACAGTTTACCACTGTTCACTTACTGAATCCTCCCTCCCTTCCTCCCACCCCTCAAGCCCCCTTAGGTATTCCCCTTGACAACTTGGTCACATTTAGCTTGAATGAAAAACTTTACCAACACACCTGCTCACCCCATATGCCAATACACAAGCCATATTGTCCCCCCCCAACCTAATTACAACAAGCCACACCCACACAATGTTTAATGATTTCACAAGTCCCACAAGCTTCCCTTGCCTAAATAAAACTCAGTAAGTTGACTTTACCTGTTCTGGCATTTTAAGTTATTTCTCCTTAGGTTCAGTATGATGTTACTTCTGGCCAGCTTAACCTGAGGAGAAAGTCAGTACAGTACACGATTAGATTTTGAAAAGGAAACTGCAAAGTACGCAAGCTATTGATTTTTAATAATTTAAACAAGTGAAATTTTTTTAGCTTAACTTTCTGAATTCATGATCAGTTAACTTGTGGCAAATTTTAAGTTACATTCTTTAATATATTTGTTATCCAATATATAAACTATATAATAGGTAACTTAATATTAATTTGGGTTAGTCTAGATTAGTTACATTTAATCTATGTTAGGCTGATTAGGTTAGTTAATTTGTTAGTTAAAACCCACCTACTAACAACCAGCTTTACTTACTATTAATCACATTACTACTACTAATGCTCACTAATACTGTAACTAATTGGCATTTAGTCCTGTACATTTTTATAACACTTTATTAAGCTTTCCCAAATCTCTACAGCTAATCTTAATTTGACTCCCAGCTCAGTTTATCTAGACAGTCCACACAGCTCTCCAGAGCCCATGGTAAAATTGCAGTTTCGTCGAATATGCCCTCGTAGTTTAGAAATTCGTTTATCCTGTGTATTTTGGGTCGATTCAATGAAATGTGGCCTTTATTTCCAGGAGAAAGCACCCTCTTTAGAATTATATCCCCCCCCCCCCCAAAAAAAGCATGGAAATCTTTAAAACTCCTTTCTGACATTCTTTGCTCCCTGGTCAAAATGGTGTTAGAAATACTCCAATAAGGTGATCTAAAGGTTGGGGATGGTTAAAAGTCAGGCGTGTACTGGCCGAAACTGCAATAATACCGAGCCCTCCAACACACACACAGTCCTCCAACACACACACACACACACACACAGTCCTCCAACACACACACAGTACTCCAACACACACACACAGTCCTCCAACACACACACAGTCCTCCAACACACACACAGTCCTCCAACACACACACACACCCCCCCCACCCACACACACAGTCCTCCAACACACACACACAGTCCTCCAACACACACACACACAGTCCTCCAACACACACACACACAGTCCTCCAACACACACACACACACAGTCCTCCAACACACACACACCTCCAACACACACACACAGTCCTCCAACACACACACACAGTCCTCCAACACACACACACCCCCACCAACCCCCACACACACAGTCCTCCAACACACACACACTCCTCCAAAACACACACAGTCCTCCAAAACACTCACACACACACAGACCTCCAAAACACTCACTCACACACACACAGTCCTCCAACACACACACAGTCAGTCACACAGTCAGTCTCACACACACACACACACTTCTCCAGAGCCCTCCAACACACACACAGTCCTCCAGAGCCCTCCAACATTCACAGTCAGCCAGGTCCCACACACACACCCTCCACTGCCCAGTGTAGGAGCACAGTGTTGAGTGGTTTATGGGCTGACCATAATAGCTAAGATAATATATAACTAACTTAACTGATGAGGCTGAAGTAACATGCTGGGTGTTAAGTCTTGCTCAAGGTTCTGTCACTTCTCCATTGGCCTTCAAGTACACCAGCTGTCACCTGCAACATGCTTAAAGTTGTAATTTACGTAGAATGAAAATTAAACTTGCAACTTCCATCTACCACTACACCACGTGTACTCACAGTCCCCAACTGTTTACATAAACCATTACCTCCACACTAAAACTATAGCATTTTTAGATCTCATGGTGTTGTCCCGACCTCCGTAAAGTGTCATTAATGCAAGAACGAATGTAAGTGTCGTCAAGACCAACACATGTGGTAACTCCAACGAGAACCAGGCCAATAAGGTAAGAAATAAGGGATTCCAACATATGGTGAGAGTCGGTTAGATTAGGTCCGGTTTATGTTTTTATAGGTTTTTTTTCATTCGCTGAGTCAATATTTTTTTCGGGAAACGCCTCACCAAAAAAACTATAAAAAACGACCAATTTCCGACGGAAATGGAGGTCATAACCGATCTAAACACAAATACGCTAATATTATTTTGTTTTACTTTCTAATTGTTGTGTGAACATACAAATGGACCTTTTGTCACCAGGAGACAACCAAGGAACCTCCAGGTTACGTTACGTTACGTTGTTAGGTTAGTTATGGTGCTTTTTGGTTGTTGACCAATGGGTTTTTCCGATTGTAAAATCCATGGTTGTCCACTTTTAAAAAATTACCAGGAACCTTAATGTTACGGGATTTAATATATACTGTATTCTGAAACGTCTCGCCCTCTAGCCTAGCCTCGCCTAGCCTAGCCCTAGCCCAGCCAGCCCAGCCCAGCCCCGCCCGCCCGGCTCCTACCTCACCTTACCTTGCCCGGCTCTCTACCTCCACCTCGCCTCGCCTCGCCTCGCCTCGCCCCCGCCCCGCCCTTCCCTCCTCGCCTCGCCCGGCTCCTACCTCACCTCACCCGGCTCCTACCTCACCTCCCCCGCCCGGCTCGCTCCATCCCTCGCCTCGCCCGGCTCCCTCCCTTGCCTCGCTATCGCCTTACCCAGACCATTTGGCTCGGCTCCCTCATCCTCCCTCCCTCCTTCCTTGCTCCCTCCCTCCCTCCCTCCCTCCTTCCTTCCTCCCCCCAGACTCCCTCACCTCGCTTCGCCTCACCCCCCCGCCCGCCCGGCTCCCTGCCTCACCTCCTTGCCCGGCTCCCTACCTCACCTCCGCCTCGCCCCGCTTCCGCTCCTTCCCTCGCCCCTTCCTCGCCTCGCCCGGCTCCCTACCTCCTCACACCAAGCCCGGCTCCCTACCTCCTCCACCCCGGCTCCTACCTCCTCACCCCCTGCCTCCTTACCGGCTCCCTCCCTCGTGCCTCACCCCGCCCGGCTCCCTCCTCCTTGCCTCCCACCCCGCCCGGCTCCCTCCCTCCCTCGCCTCACCCCGCCCGGCTAGAACCCTTAATAAATTGTTTCAACTCCCAGAAATCGTAGCTAAAGAGTAAGCAAAGAACTAGCCAGTAAAAATACATCTTGATTCCGCCAAAAATACTTCTATTTGTGTTAAATCTAGTGAATGCGGCGCAGTTGTCAATGGTGAATACAGTGGTGGTGATGAACTGCGCAGTTGTTGAGTTATGACCACCCGGCTCCCCCATAAGTGTGTTGGGCTTCGAAGCAAGAAATAAAAAATAAATAAAACGGTAATCTAACCCAATCTGGTCATTGTACTCACTTACTGGTTAATTATTACCTAAATACTGATGAACGGTTTACGCTCGTTACTCACTACCGGCTCATAGTTTAGGCTCGTTTGTCATGACTCATTTGGCGGTATATTTGACTAAAACATTAAGAAATTACTGGTTAGACGTTAGAGAGCCACTTAATATAATACTAATGTATTTGTTTAAGCTGCACAGTAGGTACCATGGGCCTTAGAGCCCAGTGAAACTTGGGGATACGACTCTATGAACTGTAACAACCGGCCGGCAAGTTTTGGACTTAAATCAGCATTTATTACGCCATAATTAAGTATATTAAACACTACCCAAAAGAATAACCATTTCTCTTGGCCATTTGGACTGTAGGCAGTCGGGCAAAAAATGTACACGTATATAAAGGAGACTAGAGGAGCGGCGCTTACCTGCCTGTCAGCTGCAGTCAGTGAGTGGCGAGTGGTCGGTGAGGAAAGAGACGAAGGCGAGTTAGTCGAGGCCTTATATGTCAAGGTTCACACTGACGTCACGAAGCTTCACTGAATCATTTTTTTGCTTCATTGCAGCATTTGAAGCTTCGAACTTGTATATACGTTAAAATACGTAAAAACGTCAAATTTGTGGCCCGATTTCACTTTTCATTAACTTTAAGGGAATAATACAACGAAAACAGTGTCCCAGAAGGAAAAGAAAAGCAAAAACAAAGCAAAACGGCTCTGTGAGCGGCAGTTTTTGGAGTAACTATTATATTTAATCACAGAAAACGGAGCAGATATTTAATCATAGAAAACGGAGGAGGAGTAACTATTATATTTAATCACAAAACGGAGGGGTAACTATTATATTTAATCACAAAATGGAGGGGTAACTATTATATTTAATCACAAAATGGAGGGGTAACTATTATATTTAATCACAAAATGGAGGGGTAACTATTATATTTAATCACACATAACGGAGCAGGGGTAACTATTATATTTAATCAGTGTTCAGTCGCAGCCAATATATTAAATATTGACCTCATAGATAATTTTTCTATTAAATTTGTTTATATCTTGACAGTCTTGGTCTGTCCTTCACTGTCGACAACAGTATTGAAGTAGTTGGGTTGGTTGGTGATATAGAGATGAACCATTAGCTCTGAGGGTGCAGTACCAGGCCGGTCTCAGTCAGGCCAAGTTATTCTATTTCATGTTTTCTTGGGCCTTTATATGTTAGGGGAGTCCCTCCATGACCCTTGTGTCACTAGAAGGATGATCCCCATCTTTTTTGTTTCTAGTTTTTATTGTGGGTTTTTATTATAGTTTTGGTAATATTGGATATTTTTGTTATTTCTCCTTTATTTCTGCATATATTTCTTTTTTTATTTATTTATTTAGTTTATTTTGTATTTCCTAATTACTAGTTAAAAATAAATAAAAATTTACCAATTGTTCACTCAATTATTTAAATAAATTGTATAAGGATTTAATATTTAAGAGAGAGTCACTTTGGTAAGGGAAACTATGTTAAGTCTTGTTAAGTTTATTTTACTCTCTCCTCTTGGTCACAGATCGTCTTGTTACTTCACACTCTAGTGCCTCTTGAGTTATTCTAAAGGTATAAACTATATTTACTGTGTTATTACCGTACATATGGTGGTCCTCAGTCCACATTCCTGCCACTAGGGTCCAGGTACAGGGTGTATTAATATACCTTCTCAGTGGAAACTTTTCTTTTTTTACAGACACTGTACTGTACGTCGCCGCTCTTCAGTGACTACATCACAACACATTCACGTAAAGAGTTCTCAGTTAAATCAGTCGTTGTAAACAAGGAAATAAATAACTTTCTCCTATTATAACTGACTTTTAACTCACCCTGTTAAAGCTACATTTATTAACATCAGTTGTAACATTAATGAGGGACATCTGTACTGTACTGTACATCAGTTGTAACATTAATGAGGGACATCTGTACTGTACTGTACATCAGTTGTAACATTAATGAGGGACATCTGTACTGTACTGTACTGTACTGTACATCAGTTGTAACATTAATGAGAGATATCTGTACTGTACTTCAGCTGTAACATTAATGAGGGACATCTGTACTGTACTGTACATCAGCTGTAACATTAATGAGGGACATCTGTACTGTACTGTACTTCAGTTGTAACATTAATGAGAGACATCTGTACTGTACTGTACTTCAGTTGTAACATTAATGAGAGACATCTGTACTGTACTGTACTGTACATCAGTTGTAAAATTAATGAGGGACATCTGTACTGTACTGTACTGTACATCAGTTGTAACATTAATGAGGGACATCTGTACTGTACTGTACTGAAATGTACTGTACTGGACTGTACATCAGTTGTAACATTAATGAGGGACATTTGTACTGTACTGTACATCAGTTGTAACATTAATGAGGGACATTTGTACTGTACTATACTTCAGTTGTAACATTAATGAGAGACATCTGTACTGTACTGTTCTGTACTGAACTGTACTGTACTCATTTGTACTGTGCTGTGCTGTACTGTACTATTCTGTACTGAACTGTACTATACTGTAGTGTACCGTACTGTACTATACTGTACTGTACTTTTCTGAACTGTTTTGTATTGTACTGTGCTATACTGTACATCAGTTGTAGCATTAATGAAAGACATCTGTATTGTACTGTACTATACTGTACATCAGTTGTAACATTAATGAGGGACATCTATACTGTACTGTACTGTACTGTTCTGTACTGTGCTATACTGTACATCAATTGTAGCATTAATGAGAGACATCTATACTGTACATCAGTTGTAGTATTAATGATGGACATCTGTACTGTACTGTACATCAATTGTAGCATTAATGAGACATCTGTACTGTACATCAGTTGTAGTATTAATGAGAGACATCTGTACTGTACTGTTCTGTACTGTGCTATACTGTACTGTACATCAGTTGTAGCATTAATGAGACATCTGTACTGTACATCAGTTGCAGTATTAATGATGGACATCTGTACTGTACTATTCTGTACTGTGCTATACTGTACTGTACATCAGTTGTAGCATTAATGAGACATCTGTACTGTACTGTTCTGTACTGTGCTATACTGTACTGTACATCAGTTGTAGCATTAATGAGACATCTGTACTGTACTGTTCTGTACTGTGCTATACTGTACTGTACATCAGTTGATGCATTAATGAGAGACATCTGTACCGTACATCAGTTGTAGCATTAATGAGACATCTGTACTGTACATCAGTTGTAGCATTAATGAGAGACATCTGTACTGTACTGTTCTGTACTGTGCTATACTGTACTGTACATCAGTTGTAGCATTAATGAGAGACATCTGTACTGTACATCAGTTGTAGCATTAATGAGAGACATCTGTACTGTACATCAGTTGTAGCATTAATGAGAGACATCTGTACTGTACTGTTCTGTACTGTGCTATACTGTACTGTACATCAGTTGTAGCATTAATGAGAGACATCTGTACTGTACATCAGTTGTAGCATTAATGAGACATCTGTACTGTACATCAGTTAGAGCATTAATGAGAGACATCTGTACTGTACATCAGTTGTAGCATTAATGAGAGACATCTGTACTGTACTGTTCTGTACTGTGCTATACTGTACTGTACATCAGTTGTAGCATTAATGAGAGACATCTGTACTGTACATCAGTTGTAGCATTAATGAGACATCTGTACTGTACATCAGTTAGAGCATTAATGAGAGACATCTGTACTGTACATCAGTTGTAGCATTAATGAGAGACATCTGTACTGTACATCAGTTGTAGCATTAATGAGACATCTGTACTGAACTGTAAATGAATTGTAGCATTAATGAGAGACATCTGTACTGTACATCAGTTGTAGTATTAATGATGGACATCTGTACTGTACCGTACATCAGTTGTAGCATTAATGAGAGACATCTATACTGTACATCAGTTGTAGTATTAGTGATGGACATCTATACTGTACTGTACATCAGTTGTAGCATTAATGAGAGACATCTGTACTGTACATCAGTTGTAGTATTAATGATGGACATCTGTACTGTACTGTACATCAGATGTACCATTAATAATGGCATTACAGCTCCATTTATTTCTATAAATTGAAAGGTAAAGTCTACATATCTCCCTTAATATTGATCTAATTGATCTGAAATTAATTATGAGCAAAGAAACCTTAGCTTAAAGTGCCACTTTGTTCAGTGTTCTTATGAATGCAGCAGATGAGTGCTAACAGGCATTAGTCGATCCATAGTTTACCATGATGAGGTGTATCAAGTGAAACAAGTATATGGAGCAAGTAACAACATCACTACATTATAAGATGTTGTAACTGATAGACTAAGGTTAGGATATAAGTACCTCTGGCAGTATGTTCCTCAAGCAGATGTGAACAACACTATATGAAGTGTGTGGCCAGACATATGGCCACACACTCTGGCAGTATGTCCCCCAGGCAGATGTGAACAACACTAAATGTGAAGTGTGTGGCCAGACATATGGCCACACACTCTGGCAGTATGTCTCTCAGGCAGATGTGAACAACACTAAATGTGAAGTGTGTGGCCAGACATATGGCCACACATTCCAAAACTACATCCTTGACTGTGTGAAGATAGAACCTGAATATTAACCCCCAAGTGCAGAACAGTACAGTATAATATGGATCAGCACAGAACAGAACAGTACAGTACAGAACAGTACAGAACAGAACAGAACAGTACAGTACAGAACAGAACAGTCCAGTACAGTACAGAACAGTACAGTACAGTACAGAACAGAACAGTACAGTAGTCCCTCATTAATGCTGCAACTGACATACAGTACAATACAATACAGTACAGTACTGTATAATATAAATTAGTACAGTACAGGGTTAAAGCTTCACATATAACA